AAGGCAGTCGGGAGACCTACAGAAACAAATATCCAGATAAATCCCCCCCAAAGAGTTGGAAGAAATACCTCCAGAGATAGTTGGGAGACTTGCAGAGACAGTTGGGAGATTTCCAGAAATACCTCCAGAGGAAGTTGTGATACCTCCAGAAAGATCCCCAGAGACGGTTGGGATGTTTGCAGACCCAGTAGGAAGACCTGCAGAAACAGTGGGAAGAGTCCCAGAGACAGTAGGAAGACCTGCAGAGACGGTAGGGATACCTCCAGAGATACTGGGGAGACCTCCAGAGGCAGTGGGGAGACCTCCAGAAACAGTGGGGAGAACTGCAGAGACAGTGGGGAGACCTCCAGAGACAGTAGGGACATCTCCAGAAATACTAGGGGCCCCTCCAGAGCCAGCGGGGAGATCTCCAGAGACACTAGGGTTACCTCCAGAGCCAGTGGGGAGATCTCCGGAGATACTGGGGACACCTCCAGAGCCAGTGGGGAGATCTCCGGAGACACTGGGGACACCTCCAGAGCCAGTGAGGAGATCTCCGGAGACACTGGGGATACCTCCAGAGCCAGTGAGGAGATCTCCGGAGACACTGGAGACACCTCCAGAGCCAGTGGGGAGACCTCCGGAGACACTGGGGACACCTCCAGAGCCATTGGGGAGATCTCCGGAGACACTGGGGACACCTCCAGAGCCAGTGGGGAGATCTCCGGAGACACTGGGGACACCTCCAGAGCCAGTGGGGAGATCTCCAGAGATAGTCCCAGGGACATTTGGTTGGATCAGTTGAGCTGTTGGACAGAATAGAAATATAAGAATTCAGTGCTTCCTCAGAACCAGGGAATACAATGGGCATTCAGGGATCTTCAGTACTCACCATTTCCAGACAAGGCCAGCAAGGCAGCCAGCAGGGCAAAAGCAACCTCCATGGTGCTGAATTCAAGATTCTTTGACAGCAACATCCCTCTGGCTCCATCTGGACCCTTTATAAAGCTTTGAGTCTTAGTAAGGATTCCAAGGGAATTCAGGTGTGCCAGGGCCTCCATCAACACTGGGATCTCCATTCCCAGGGAGAGGTCAGCACTCTATCCCCAGAAGAGTAACCCATCCCAGCAAGTTCCTGGGAAACACAGGTTGGACAAAAGGATGAGTAAGAAGTTAGACTTCCCTTTTTCTGGCCCTCCAGTTTCTCCTAACACTCAAGTGTCCATCCCCCAGACCCAATTCTCCTTGGTAACCCAAATATGCTGTCCTTTGGCTCCTGGACAGTCTAGCAGTTGGGGACAAGCTCTCTAGTATGCAGCACAAAGTTGGCATTTAATAAATGCTTATTCATTGATTGATTGATTGACTACACACATAGATTCCTGAAGGGAGCAGGGCAGGTGAGTATGGGCCTAGTAAATGTGAACCCCTGATACTGAAGAGATCATGGGACTTGAGGAAAGACTTCAAAACCTGGTACATTGTTGGGAAGGCCAGCAGCACAAACTAAGAGTTTATCTCTCCTGCCTGCAGCCAGAGCTCAGGATGCTTGGTAGGCCAAGGGGCTAGTGTAATGAGAATAATAATGAGGGAATGCAGAAAAGGACAGGAGATATTATACGTATGTGTGAAACCTGAACACTAAGGTGAGGGCATGGGCCTTAAGTCATCCAGAACCCCATACTAGAGAGAAGAAGGAATTTCACTCTTTGGGAGAGAACCATAAGGGTAAGATTATCCCATTCCATTGTAATGTGTTTCTTGTTTTGTTTTCTGTTGTTCAGTTGTTTTTCAGTCATGTCCAAGTCTTCGTCAACTCTTTTGGGGTTTTCTTAACAAAGATATTGGAGTGGTTTACCATTTCCTTCTCCAGCTCATCTTACAGATGAGGAAACTGAGGCAAAGTGACTTGCCCAGGGTCACCTGGATTTGAACTCAGAAAGCGCAGCATTCCTGACTTCAGGTCTGCCACCCTATCCATGGTGCCATCTATGTCTTCTATGCCTTCTACCCAACATCTTTTTTTTTTTGAGGGGGGAAGAAGCGTGAAGTGTCTACCTCCCTATCTTTATGTCTCCCTCCCTAAATACATTCCTCCCACTCTGTCCCTTTCTGGTGAGATGCCCTTTGGTGTTTCTCTAGCCTAGTTCCTGGCTACTTCTCTTCACATGGGACCATAAATCTGGAGCTGAAGGAACCTTAGAGTCCATCTATTCCAACTCCCTCATTTTCACAGATGAAGAAACTGAGGTCCAGCAAGGTTAAGATAGAATGGGTGACCTTGCATCAGAGGTGGAATTTAAACCCTGAACTAAAGAGCTAATGTGGCTGTAGGTGGTGGTACCAGGTACCATGCTAGGTGATGGTGATAAAAAAAGACAAAGGATGAAACAACCCCTACTCTTATAAATAGTTAAAAGAGAAAGCAATTTCAAGTAAAAGAAGATAAAAGGCTAAGACTGCTAATTTACAAAGGATGAGCATTATTCTTTCTAGCCCTCTTGGAACTCGTCTTGAGGGATCCAGGACAGTCCTTGACTAGGCCAAGAGATAAGGAAATTTAGGAAGCCCAGCGGTCAGATGGGGACTGGCAGCAGCAAAGAGGGAGGGGGCCAGCGTCTCTGTGCATGGGGGCTTAAATCTTACTGCAGAGCAGCTGTTTTCTCCCTGGCAATTCCAAGTGGGAGGAAGTGACAACCTCCAAGACAACAGCCTCTCATTGTCATCGTCTGTTCTTCGTTCTCAAAGAGGACCATGACATCAAGGAGGTGACGCCATGACATACAAGTGAATTGGTTTTAAATGAGGGAGGGCTGTGCAAAGTCACCAGCCTCACTTTCTCCTCTGGAGCCATCTGGGCCCAGTGGCCAGATATAGATCAGGACGACTGGAGATAGCCCTAGATATGCTTATGTGTATTGTCATTTTTAATTGTACTGATAATAAAATTTTCTTTCAAATAGGAAAAAAAAGTCAGGAAGTCAGGAATGTAATGCAGAACATTATTTTGCCATTTAGGTAGTAGGGCCCTTTAAGCCATGAAAAGCAAAAGTTGGTGCTTAATCTTGCCCCAGACCTCTTTCCTCCCAAATCTAAACAATAGTGAAATGTACTCTTGCATAGCTCAGCATAGCCCGTACCTCCAACGCAAATGGATAAAAAAAAAGCTTGCAATAGAATTGCTTTAGATAATTATGTTTATACCAGAGATCAGGACACCTGGTCTGGTTTGTGTGATCTCTGACTCGTAATAATGGGGTGCTCGGGTGCTTGTGCTTGTGCCCCAATTTCTTCCTAGTCTCAGAAACACTGTCTCTAACAACCACTCTGCAGCCCAAGGACACTGTGCCTAGCAGTTATTCATGCATGGGCCTCAGCATGACCCTTATCTCTCTCCCTGGTACAGCTACACAGAGCTGGGCTGCTCAGGCCCCAGCCCTCAGATCATGTCTCTGGAAGCCTCCCAATTCCTCAGAAGTTCCTGTGTTGTGAGAAAGCTTTCCCTTGTTGCAGAGCATTCTTTCATCAAGACAGAGGGAGAGGGGTGTCCTTGGCCAGCCCGAGGACTCTTCCTCCTGCCAGACTCCAAAGACCCATCCCCCTCCCTGTCCGGTGTACTCCCATCCATAGCCCCCAAAGACACCTGCACCTCATCGGTGTTCCTGGCATTTCTTTCCCATGCTCTTTTCCATATGAACCCTAGCTCGACCCCTGATCGGGGCTGCTTGATTTGGGTGTGCATACCCCTGGCAGCCGCGCACTAATAAATCCACATTTTAAATTACGTCTGGGTCTTGCTCGCTGATTTCTGCTACAACAAGGAAGACCCAAGTTCAAAGCCAGTTTCAGACACTTCCTAGCTGTGTGATGCTGGGCACATCTCTTCTCTGTTTGACTCATTTTCCTCATCTGTAAAATGGGAATAATAACAGCATCTGCTTGTTGTGAGGATGAGATATTTGAAAAGCACTTAGCATAAGATCTGGCACATAGTAGACACATATAAATGTTCGTTATTATGTAGGAGTAGGACTTATCTGGATGTTCTGTCACCCATGCTCCCTAGGTTATGTGCCTTTATGATACTTGCTGTATCTTTTTTGTCCTCTTTCTGACTCATCTTTTGCATCTGTGTCTGCACCTTCATGTTCTTTTCTTTCTCTATCCTTACCTGTCTGTCCAAAGTATAAATGTGTTTTTTGGAGACTATATCCGTCTGGGTTTAGGAAGCAGGGTATGCTTTAGGACAGAGAGATGAAGTGGAAACCTCGTTATGTATTTGTTTATGTGTGCATATCCTTAGGAAACCAGAGTATTTGAGAGCCTGGTGTATCTGTTTGCCGAGTTGTAGGTGTTGAGTTTGAGTGGAGAAGGAAGGAGGGGGCTGGGGGAAGGAGGGTGTCTGGTGAATGAATGTACAAGGCTGAGTGAATACATCTCTGTGTGTATGTAGTTTTTGGTTTGTGTTAGAGCACGTAGAAAACATTTAGAGGTGAATTCTCTTCCAGATTTCTTACTCAAAGAGCCACCAGGGTTAAGGGAATTAGGGCCTCAGGAAATTTGTCTACCCCACCCCTCCCTTTTGGGCCCACATTCCTAAGACCATTAGTGTTGTGAATACTGGGAATTAATTGAGGTTAATAATTAATCCCTAAGAAGGAACAAGAGGCTATGGTTGGGGTGGGGCCCAAGAATAGCCAACAAGAACACCTCGGCCTCCCTCCCCCCAGCACCTGCACTTCCATCACCACCCTTGTTCAATCAACCCTCAGTCCCTTCCAACCCAGGCATCCTGTCCTGTAGTCGATGAAATCTGACTTCCTGGGAGGCTGGGAAGCCTCCTTTTCATACTCAAGGTCTCAAGCATCAAATCTCCCACCCTTTGCTTTCCTCCAGAACCCAGACGACTTGTCCCCACCCTACAGTCCATCATAGCCCTACTAGGAAAACTAGAAAATCCAGTGAAGTAGCCCTCCCCCTTCCATTTTCCCCAAAACAGAAGTGTGTAGGCTCAGGTATTTAGACAAAGTGGGGGCATAGAAGGGCAGGCTAGGTAGAGTGAGGAGTAGGGGGGAGAGGAGGGAGGAGGGGAGGAAAGAGTTGGCTTGGAATGCAGAGAACACACTCCCTCTCAGTCATCGGTTTGCCACGATGAAGCCCTGGATGCTTCTTTTCCTCCTTTTAATCCTGCCCAACAAGCCACAAGGGACAGGTAAGAGGTGGGGAGTTGGTCCTCAAAGGGAGAGAGAACTAAGGGGAAGGACCCCTGAGGCCTTACAAGGAGGGGGAGGGACAGATGCCTGGCTCCCTAAGAGGTGCTGGAGGGTGGTCCCTGAAAGGGGCTGGTAAGTTGGACATCTGGGGCCCTGAGGAAAGCAGGAGCTGGAAAATTGGAAGAGCCAAAGTCTATGGGACCAGACACCTAGATCCTGAACTATGCTCATGGCCCCCTAGGGCCCAGGACCATCATGCATCTGAAGTTGAAGGACTCTTTTCCTAGGAACCTCTCTCGAGCCCCCCATTTCCAGGAGTTTCTGGAGAAGGTATGGCCTAGAAAGTGAGGCGAGGGGCAGGAGTTTGGTGGGGGAAGATGGATTTGGAGTACAGAACAGGTTTAGAGTATGTTTATCTATCTGTCTCATAGGACCAGGAATTGGGGATCCCATTACCCTCCCTCTGCCTCCCACTGCCTTTCCCTTTCTTCCAGGTCTGTCACCTCCTGAACCTCCCTTTAGGGACCAATATCACCCTCCAAAGCCCAGGGTCACCTCATCATGTCACCTGCTAAAGCAGGTGGCAGCAGTGCCATCCAGGGATGGTATCCGTGCATCTGGACCCCAAACTTCTCCTTCTCCCAGACATTCACATAGCCAAACAATGGAGTTTGTGGGCTAATGCCTGACTCAGTCTCACAGTCACTAGCCCTGCTGGGCACCTTAATAAAGATGTGGATATTGATTTGACTCTGTGTATCTTTGGGCAGTGGGCAGGGAGGGGGAAGGGCAGATAGAAGGGAAAACTGAAGTTGGGCCAGAAAACCCCTGATTCTCCTAATATTCCTAAAATGTGCCCAGCCTCTAGAATCAGGAGACCCAAGCCCCTGTGAGACTGTGGGGAGGGGACTTTCCTTTTTCTGTACTTGCTTCTTCATTTGTAAAATGAGGGTCTAACATTTTATGTTGCTAGTTTCAGGACTGTTGAACTTGTGAGCTAATACGCAGACAAACAACACCTCATAGGCATGAGGAGCACCAGGGGGTGAGGGGTGGGGACAGTGCCATCTGATTCCCTAGGTTCCTGGAGCTCTCCTACCCATGTTGTTCCCCACTGTTATCCCCAGGTCTAAAGGACTTCTCTCCTCTGTTTTCCTAGTACATTGCCCAGGAAATGGACAGGAACAGGAACACTAAGGCCTGGAGCTGTTGTTTACCTCTCTGATCTAATATCAGGCAGAGCCTATGTGTGTATTTGTCAGAGGATGAGTAGACTGACACCCTGCCCCATCCCATAACTACTGGTGACTTCCCATTTCTTCACCTAAGGCAGGAGCTCACTTCCTCACTCCAGAATAGTCCCCAAGATGCCTGTGTGCTGGGAGTCACACCTCCCATCTCCCTTCCATCTCCCCCCTTAGAGAAAAGTCCACTGTGAGAGCAGAGGAAGATGCCAAGCACATCTTGACTTGAAAAAAAATGTATTCTCATCTCCTCATTACAGAGCTTCCAGGGTGGAGCTGGCTGCTGAGTAAATCCAAGATAATGATATAAGTATCCCTTAGGTCATTTTCTACGATAGGTTCACCACAACCCAAAAGGGCATGGAGTCGTCTCATGGAGAAGATAAGAGTGGCATTTGAGGGTTAAGGAGCTGGAAAAGCAAACCTGCAGAGTCATAGATGCACCTGCCCTTTGGAGAGGAAAGACAGCTGGGGAAGAAAGGGGAAGAGAGCACCTAATCACCCCTTCCTGGCCCCTTAGGGATGAGCAGAAGAAGTCTGAAGGCAAAGGCTGAAGGTTCAAATCTTGGCTCTACTATTTCTAACCTGTGTGAACTTCGACAGGTCCCTCAATTTCTCTCCTTGGGAAACTGGGAAGCCTTCTTATTCAGCCTCTCCCCCATCTTGGTTCCCATTTTCCCCAAAATACAAGTTTCCACCCTGTGTTGGCTTTATAAATCTATGACAATAGAAGCTGTTTACTGGAATGATTTCAGGGTCCCTCAGAAGTCCACTTAACTTCTAAAATGCCTTCCCTGCCTGGCACACTGTCTGAAATTCTACAATCAGACATTTACTCATTTGGTTTTAAGTACTGTTAAAACGTAAATATCCCTGGGAGTGGTAATGATAAGTCTTACTAGTCACTCACAGTTTGGAGTGAATACTTTCATCAAATCACTTGAACAGATATGAATAGTGGAAATAAGTAACCTGAATGAGGAACCTGGGGACGGAAATGGCCAACTCCAAGGCATCTGTGGCTTCATTCACATGAGTTTTCCCTCCATTAATGCAGAGCAAAGCTCGCCCATGCCTGGCCATTGTGAGGCTCTTCTCCAAGTCCTCTTATAAATTTACCACAGTGGGTCTCAAACCTTTCTCTAAGCCCTTGTAGTAGATACCAATGGAGTGAGTGGGCAGTTCATTAGTTTCTCTGGCTTTTACTTTATAACGAAAACATCCTCTTTTTTTTTCTATTCATATTTTCCTCTGATGACATATTTTACACAACTTATGCAGAATTCTTCATGTTTCCAGGAGGGTGGCAGCACATTCATGCCCATCATGCACCTGTTTGAATGATCCTTAACTTTAATTTTTTGGAGATTAGTTTGCATTTCTTGCAGCCTTTTAATATCATTTGGAAGATTTTTTTTTTAAACTAGACTAGGGATTTAAGGAATAGCTAAGTAGATCAGAGCATACAGTGCTGGACCTCTTGGAGTCAGGAAGACCTGAGTTCAAATTCTGCCCAATACTCCTAGCTTTTTTTTTTTATGTATTTAACACTCTCTTAACTCATCCTCAATTGCCTCTTCCCTCTGACTGGAGGGTTGGAGGGCAGAGCACTAAACTCCTCCCAAAGCCTTCCTTTACAGAGAGTTCTAGGGGACAGCTAGGTGGCGCAGTGAATAGAGCACTGGCTCTGGAATTCAGGAAGACCTGAGTTCAAATCCCATCTCAGACACATAACACTTACCAGCTGTGTGACCCTGGGTAAGTCACTTAACCCCATTGCCTAGCCAAAAAATAAAATTAAAAATAAAATTACAGAGGGTTCTAGGACAGTGGACAGAATGCCAGGCTTGGAGTCAGGAAGATCCTAGTTCAAATCTGGCCTCAGACACATGCTGGCTGTGTGACCCTGGGCAAGTCACTTAACCCTGTTTGCCTCAGTTTCCTCGTCTGTAAATGAGCTGGAGAAGAAAATGACAAGCCACTGCAATATCTTTGCCAAGAAAACCCCAAAAGGGTGTCATGAAAAGTCAGACAGGGCTGAAACAACTGAACAACTCAACCTTCCTGGTAACTCCATTCTCCACCAGCTGCTTTGCTTGACATGGAACACGTCCCTTGGTCCCCTCTTTGCTCCATTTTTCAGATTCCTTTTGTGTGGTCTTCCCTTATTTGATTGTAAACTCCTTGAGGGCAGGGGACTGTTTCTTTTGCTTATTTGTATCCTCAGCACTTTGAATTGAACTGAATTACCCTGAGAAAGTCACTTAACCTCTCTCTCTCATCTGTAAAATGGGGACAAAAATAACACCTCACAGGGCTGTAGAGAGGATCAAATGAAATAATGTTATGTAAATGGCTTTGTAAACCTCAAAAGCTATTATGATCATCAATGGAGGGAGGTCCTGGGGAAGAATTTTCTCTACCAGTGTAAGCCAGCACTTTCTCTGCGGTTTATATCCTAAGTGAGTTGCCTAGGACTCTGGACAATAGAGGCTAAGTGCCATGTCCAGGGTCATACAACCCAGATGCAGCAGAGGCAAAACTTGAACCCAGGTCTTTCTGACTTTTGAGGACAACTCTCTACTCAACACACTGTGAAGTTTTTCCACTGGCATAACACTACTGTTTAAGACTGGTCTAAGCTTAGGGGTAAAGATGGGAGTCATTTAAAAGCAAAGGCATTCTCCTCCTGGTCACTTCTGGGTCCACTTGTCCATCCACAGTTGGTTCTTTGATGGCGGCATCCCTCTGGCTTCTACAGTACTATCCCTATAGCCTGCTGGTGTGTCTGCCTGCCTTAAGGTTCTTCCCATTCCAATTTACTCTCCATTCAGCCACTAAAGTGATTTTCCTAAAGCTCAGGTCTGACTATGTCACTCTCCTATTCAGCAAACTCCAGTGTCTCCCTATGGTTTCCAGGAGCAAACACAAAATGCTCTGTTTGCCATTCAATGCCCTTCATGATGTAGACCCCTCCCACCTTCCCAGTCTTCTCACACCTTGCATCTTACTTTTTTTTTTGCTTCTGTTAGGCAATGGGGTTAAGTGACTTGCCCAGGGTCACACAGCTAGTTGAGTGTTATGTGTCTGAGACCAGCTTTGAACTCAGGTCCTCCTGACTCCAGGGCTGGTGCTCTATCCACTGCGCCATCTAGCTGCCCCCTTGCATCTTACTTTTTAACCCAGTGACACACCTCCTGGTTGTTCCATAAACAAGACACTCCTATCTTTTGTCTCTGTGGTTCCCTATGCCTGGGACATTCTCCTTCCTCATCTCTGTCTCCTGGTTTCCTCCCAACTCTCCACTAAAATCCCACCTTCCATAGGAAGCCTTTCCCAAATCCTCTTAATTCTAGTGCCTTCCCTGTTATTTCCTATTTATCCTGTACAAAGTTTGTTTATACATATTCTTTTGCTGTCTTTCCCCACTAGATTATGAGCTTTGTGAGGTTAGGGATTGATTGCCTTTAGCTATTTTCGCATCCTTGGTTCTTAGCACAGTGTGTGGTACATAGTAGGTGCTTAATAAATGCTTAGTAACTAACTACTGGAATCTATAAGGCTTTGAGTTTTAAGCTTAAGGTGTAATTAATGTGTTTAGAATGTGTGTACTGTTGGACCAATTCTACAGGTTGTTCATGGCGTAGTTGCACAACAGGCATTCTTCATGTGTGGCTTTTCTAGTGTGGATAATTAAGCCAAAAATCTTAAGAGTAATTTATGTGTCATTTAAAACCAATGCAACTAAAATTAGAAGAGAAGGAGGAATTTGCATCAAGTTTCTCTGATAAAGGTCTGATTTCTAAGATACATAAGGAATTCAGTCAAATTTATAAGAAAAAGAACCATTTCCTAATTAATAAATGGTCAAAGGGTATAAATAGTCAGCTTTCAGAAGTAGAAACCAAAGCTGCCAATAGCCATATGAAAAAAGTTGTAACTAATAATGACAGAAATGTAAATGAAAACAACTCTAAGATATCATCTCATACTCATCAGATTGGCTAAGCTAACAAAAAATAAAAGTGACAAATGCTGGGAGGTGGGAGTGTAAAAGGAAACAGGTACTTTAATGCATACAATTGGTTCAAAAAGCAATCTGGAACCATGCCCAAATAAACATATTAAACTGTGCATACCCTTACACCTAAAGATACCACTACGAGGTTGGATTCTAACCTAATAAGATGAAAGAAAAGGAATCCATATGCACAAAAGGATCCAAATGTATAAAAGTATTTATAGCAGCTCTTTTTGTGGTGGTAAAGAATCGGGACATGTCTGAACAAGTTATGTTCTAGGAAAGTGATAGAATACCATATTGTAAGAAATGATGAGAGGATGGCTTCAGAAAAAACAGAGAAGACTCATACTAACTGATGCAAAGTGAAGTGAGCAGAATGAGAACAATTGTACAATAACAATAATATTGTGAAGATAATCAGCTTTGAAAGACTTAGGAATGCTGATCAACACCATGACCAACCACAATTCCAGAGAA